GAGAGAGAACACCAACACGGGAATAACCCATGAAGGAGGAAAGAGAGGTCACAGGAACAAAATCTTAGGGTATTTTTACACCTAATCCTTCGGCCACTGAGGTTAACCTATTCCTGTTTCTGAAAATGTGCAGGTAGAGCGCCAGTCGCTGCTGCAGTTGCACGTTCTGTTGCCTCAAGTTATTCCTGTCATTCAGAAGCTGTGACAGGCTGTCTTGCGAGATGGAAGGTGCAGGGGAATTAGAACTGGTGGACTGTAGAGACATACAGAATATAGGTCCTGATGGGGTATTAACAGTTGAAACATTAGGGCACCTTGCCAACTGTTCTGCTGTCATATAAACGATGCGGGTTCTTTTCACAGGTGGACTCTGGCCAGAAGATTGGGACGATGCTGCACTGCTACGTGCGGAGCTAGTCGCAGCCTCTTCTGCACACGACCGCTTGCGACCTCTGCTGTTGGGAAGTAGAGTCAACGTTCTGGGAAGAGCTCCTATTGCTGCCCCGGTCTTACTTCCTAACTTCGTTTGATCCTGGGGAGGCGGTTGCTTCTGGGACAAGAGTGCTGGTGGTAATGTCTGTGGAACAGGAACGGATGCAGCCAGAGTGGAGACCCTGGCAAGGTCAAGGCAGACCGATCCAGCTGATTTGTCATGGCCACTCCCTGGTATACGTACTAAAGATCGAACTAGTTCACCTGTATCAACGGGTCCTACCATGATAAAAAGTTCTGGTGGAATGAGGTGTTGATGGATATTATCAGTATGGAAATAATTCACTGTTACTTTACACCACTTTGTTATTTTCTTTATTTGCACTTGTATGTCTTTACGAAGATATTTTGCAGTTACCTTTGCCAAAGCATATATCCTTTTTTTCAGGACCTGGAAAGAGAAGTCACATATGAAGCACGATAAAAAAGGCGTAAATTGAAGAAAATGTAATTTTCATTGAATTAAGTAATGAATCTTTCAATGAATGAAATAATAATTTAGACTGCATTAATTTCACTGAAAACAATAACTAATCCTTATCTACAGAATTACACTAATAGATCGGCGCTTGTAAGTGCATCGGTCTAGTAGGGGTTTGATCACAAATCACTGACACATTTTTCTGAGTAACGGAAGAAAGAAAGGGCAACGTTGAAGGGAGGGTAGAAAGAAAGTAAGAGAGAAACATAGAAGAGAAAGAAAAAAAGAAAGAAGACAGAAGAGAAAGGGAGAGGGAGGAAGGGAGGAAGGGAGGGAGAGGGGAGGGAGAGGGGAGGGAGAGGGAGAGGGAGAGGGGAGGGAGAGGGGAGGGAGAGGGGAGGGAGAGGGAGAGGGGAGGGAGAGGGAGAGGGGAGGGAGAGGGAGAGGGGAGGGAGAGAGGGAGAGAGAGAGGGAGAGAGAGAGAGGGAGAGGGGAGGGAGAGGGAGAGGGGAGGGAGAGAGGGAGAGAGAGAGGGAGAGAGAGAGAGAGGGAGAGGGAGAGAGAGAGGGAGAGAGAGAGAGAGAGGGAGAGAGAGAGAGAGAGAGAGAGAGAGAGAGAGAGAGAGAGAGAGAGAGAGAGAGAGAGAGAAGCATTTACACTTTTTCCCTGAGGGGTTGCTTTTTGAGAGCAGCAATTTCTCTTGTACACACTAAGCCAGTGCAACGACGCGTGTGCCTCGAACGTTGAGTCTGGAATGTATTTATACATCCATCTGCGCATTTCGCGCAACACGAACACACACACACACACACGCTTAACTCATTATCGTATGTGTGTGTGTTAAGTGTGTGGTTTGTGTTACGTGTGTGTGTTAAGTGTGTGGTGTGTGCGTGTGTGTTACATGTGTGCGTGTGTGTTACGTGTATAATGGTCTCTCATTCAATTATATAGAGATCCACTATATTATCTGGAGGTCCAGAGGAAAACTCAGTATCTGTTAACACACTTTATTGCTAAGCAGACACGTAGTAAAGGAGATATAGGTTGGTAACGTGGACGTGGCAGATAGGGCGTCGTCGGGGTCCTACGGAAGGCCAGAAGGGACGGTGTTGTTCGTATGAGGCCTAGACTCGTTCTGCCTGTCCCTTGAGACACTAGGTCATTCCTCCCTTTGCCTGCCTAGGGGCGTGGTCGCCGGCAGCTGACCTCTCTCGGCAGCTGCGGGTCATATTCCCCTTGCCTCTGCCCAGGGGGCCGCCCACCTGCATCCTGTTGGTCAGGTCAGCGAGCAGCTGTTCCTTGAATCTCATACCGCTCTGCCACCTACCCACGCCTCGTCCTCGTGGCGTTGACAGGCTGGTCCACCTCAAGGTTGTCCTAATCGCGCGCCTGGGGAAGACTCGACGGTACCTGGTGCGGTCGTCCCTCCTCCACGGCGCGCGTCCTCATCCTCCACCCGTCCTGTGCGTCGTCCTACTTCCTGTCGTTGCTGCGGTCCGTCCACGGCGCCTCACCATAGCGCCATCTCGGAGACGTCCTCGGCATGGTCCATCCGGAATCTTCTGCTCTCTGGGGGGGTCCCTCGCCGTCGGTTACATGCGGGAAGCGTCGGTGTCGACGATCCGTCCAACGGCAAACAGACCATGCACGCAAGGGCCAGGATAGTAGGAGAGAAAGATATGACAGAAGTGGGGGGGGGGGGGGGGTAAACAACGTACTACGAGCCGGTAACAATCAGCATAACACTTTGTAATTTGTATTTTTTTTTTTTTTTTTTTTTTCTTTCTGGAATGAACGAGGCAATCCGCAAGGATCATCTTGAACCTCGAGCATTCCGATAAAGGGATAGAAGGAGAGAATAAGGATTATATGCACAAAAATATCGGTGCCTTATGGCCTAGGTCCATTATACGGGGGACACGAGGAAGCATGCTCGACGGGCTTACTGCTAATTCGTTCCTCTTCCCTATGCATCCGATATGCCTTCGCGTAGCACACCCCAAACGCTATTAGGAGGAGCAACACGCCTGCCAAAGAGACATAGATAGGGTAGATAAAATCTACATGAAATCTCGACATCAACCCCACGTCCGCGTCCTGAACCTTACTAACGTCCCTTAAATGTAACCTCGGGATCGTGACGTTGAGTGTCGGCAAGGTCAGGATCGCAGGCTTAATCGCTATAGGATCTGCAGCGACGTCCGTGACGATGGACTTGATTGCCGGAATTTGCAACAACAGGGAACGTAACCCGCAATGATGAGGTAGTACAAAGGTTCCCTGCAACTTCCTATCTGGCTGAATCTCCTCGCAAGCAATTGTGGCGGCCGTTGGCTGATAGAAATAAATCAGTGTTACTTGCGAAAGGCTGAGCATGAAAGGTGAGAGCTGATCCTGAACTTCCTCGAAGGAACAGAGGGAGGTGATCAGCCCTCCGGAAACAAGAGCACGAGCACAAGATGGAGTCTGAAGAGAAGAAGGTAGAGGCGAAGAAAAGCACACGAATGTGTCCCTAGTAGGCCTTGAACAAGAGTCTAAGAAGTCGGAGGAAGGGAAAGATAAAGCATGTCCTCCTAATTCTCGAAGAATGAATGTGTGCGGCACGTGAACCATGTAATGTGAGTTATTTGTTTTGTGTGGGAAAGAGTGTATGCGGTACGCCTTAAAGACGGTAGAAGGACGCACTGGAATAATAACAGACAGCCCTGAGGAAGTGAGGAAGGACCTCAGGCTGGCGTAAAACCGAGTGCGTTTCGTTAAGGGAAAGAGAGTCTTGAAGGAAGACACTCTCTGAAGTACCGCGCCCATGTCGGTAGGCGAGATTAAGTCAAGTGACACCTCTCCGTGCGCCGCACGAATGAGAGCCGATGCCATACTTGTCACTCGCTGTATAAGCTTGTTCATCGTGCTCTGGTATGAGAAAATAGTTAAGGTTAAAGAGGTAAGATGAGACACCTTGTTCACTGTACCTGCAATGTGACCGACCTTACTTCGCACAATATTAAAGTCAGAAGCTAATTCCTGAACGTTGCGTTCGAGCGTGTTGACAGCGTGAGCAGACGAGTCGAAACTATGAACTACAGACGATAAGCTTTCCCTGTACTTATTGAGCTCGGATGCGAGCGTGTCGTCATCCACAACTCCGAAAAGTCCATGTGCAATGTTGCCAACAAAGTTGAATAATCCCCGCCGGGTCCTATTCGTAGATTTGAGAGGTCCGATGAAGGAATTCAACTCCGCAATCGTCGAGGATAAGATGCGGTCGAATATGCGAACGTCGTGTGAATCAAGAGAAGGGTCAATAGTGAGATTATCACGAAGAGAGAGTAACTGGCCCCTGTGATATAGCATGAGCTTTGAAGCGTTGCGTAGTGGCAACAGCGAGAACCGGGCCTCCACATAGCTAGTTATTGGAAAGACCTTCCCCAGGTCCTCAATCATAGCCCCAGGTGCGTCCATCACGTTATGCGGCAGACGGTGCGAGTCTCCTCCCACGAGGAGTGCCACAAGGAATATGGACGACAGCATCCTGGAAGGGAGAGCCAGATATCACTTACCACTCGCAAACTCAGCATGGAAAAATATATCACAAAAGTCAGCATTGAAAAGGAACCAATATGAATGGGTGATAATGATCATGAGAAGGTGCAGGTAACGTATGCAACTGCAGCTGATGAGGTACCGAACTATCAAGGTAAATGACAGTACATCTCCAATGTAACCAAATAGTTGGCCTAACTCTACGGGAGTAACACATAAGCATGAATAACTCTCGAGAACTAATGCAAGTAGAATGGATAATGGGATGATATGTCATAGCAAGAATGAAGGCAAGAGGACCACCTATGAATCCTGGCACTGATAATACTGATCAGCCAGCTTTAGGACGTCAAAGTGGAACCACTGTACAGAGCCATCAGCGACAGATTTGCACTCTGCCTTGTTGTTCTTTACTGCTACAACTCTGTAGGGACCCACAAATAACGGACTAAGCTTAGGCCGAATAGTACCATGAAAACTAGCTTTCCTAAAAACCAAGGAACCAACACCGATAGTCTTTGCACGAGCGATCTTATGCTGGTACTCAATAATTCTATCTCGTGACCTGGTCAGGAGTGCCTTTGCTTGCTGAAACGCTCGCTGTTGCCGAGAAACCAAATATTCAGCATAGTTATCTGCATATAGGGGGCGCGGTCTCATTTCCAGGAGTTCGTATGGCAACCGCTTGTCTTGCCCCGTGAGAAGAAAATGTGGGCTATCGCCCAGGGAAGAGTGATAGGTAGAGTTGATGGCCGACTGGACGGTGGGGAGAAGAACGTCCCAATCGTCTTTGCTGTCGTCCACCAACTGACGCAAAATGGTGAGAATAGATCTATTTAAACGTTCCGTGATGCCATTAGCCTGCGGACGGAACGGCAAAACATTCACCTGCGTCACATTAAGCTGCTGTGTCAGACTGGCTAACACCTGATTGACAAACTCGGTACCGTTATCCGAGCTTAAATATTGTGGACAGCCGTGGCGGCAACAAATTACGTCATGAAATGCTTTCGTGACGTGCACAGCAGCTTTTGATGGAACCGCCACCAACTCACAGTAGCGAGAAAAATTGTCCACGAACACAAGGATGTGCTTGTTGCCAGACCGTGATGTGATGAATCCCGACAAAGTGTCACATGACACCTTTTGCCAAGGAAAATCCGGAATATCGAATTTTAGTGCAGGCGCGGGATCGCTTGTGTGACCCTTGTACAGCGGACACGTCTTGCAAGACCTGACGTGTTCCGTGACCCTGTCCAATAACCGCGGAAAATAGAATCGGTTTCGAGTCATCTGCACTGCCTTGTGAACACCACAATGCGCTGCCTCACTGGACTCGTGAGCATACGTCAACACACGCGGCACTAAACATTCCGGCACCACCAAGACTTGTCGGACGATCCGCCTGCGACCCATAATTCGCTTCGGCC